ATAAAATTATTTCTCAATTGATATATTTATATGTAATGTAGTTATATATTACAAGTTAAAAAAATTAGTATAATATAACTCAAGTAAGTTGCACAAATAAAAAGTGTCATAATAAATATATAATAATATATATATTCTTATAAAAGGTATTTAAATTTTCAAACTACTTTTTCTCATTAATTTTAGATTTTAAGAAAAAAAAAATTAACAAGCACCCGTGTAATACACGGTATTTTATTAGTATATAAAAATGTGAGAATGCACCGCCACATTGCATTTGGTTACAACTTACACATTTTAATCTCAAATTTTCTAATTAGTAATTTCGCTTATTCTTATCACTTTTTTAGCTATATTTAAAGTTTCGGTAAATATTATATTTTTGATTCATAGCAAAAAAAGGATTCTATATAATTTTTAATATCAATTTATTATGTTAAGAAACTTTTAGAGATCTCATATAAATAATTAATAACTAGATAAAATAATATGTAATGAATGTAGTATACGATAATAATTATTTTTTATTTTGAGAATTATTTTATAAGATGTACTTGTCATGATTATTTTTATTTTGGCATCACATATCATTTACCAATTTTTAATTTTCAATAATAATTTAGTTCAGTGAATTGACCAAAATTAATGGAGATTAATTTTTAACAATAATATATTTTAGACCATTCGACAAATCAATATCAACTCAGCATTGTGGCAGCAATTCATATTGAACACCTCAAAAATCTAGGCAATTGAAATATTGATAAATTATAAATCATCATAACATAAATTTATATATAATATATTATAAATAAATAAATAACAACCAAATTTTTATTGATCAAAATTATGAAATAATTTCTATTCAACACCTCCAAAAAATTATAAGAATGGCATTTATGATAAATAACAACGAAAAAGTTAAAGAGTATCCATTTTATATTGTATATGTTTTTGTTTTGGGCGATGGGAAAAATTGTATCCATCCGATGGCTCCATAGC